CCACGACACTGCATGACCACTCTCCAGGGCCGCGAAGAACTTGCCGCCGAGCGGCGACGAATGCAAGCGCTGCGGGAAGAGCATAGCCAGGCCGGTTTGCACCAACAGGAACATGTTCAAGAGTTTGGGGGGAGTTCGGGGGTTGAGGCGATTTGTAGCCAGTATGCAGGCAGCGCAGGCAGTCGCGGCGGAAAGGAAGACCTCCAAGCATCTTGCGCAGCAGCTGCGCTACGAGCAGGCACGTTCCGAAGTCTGGAGTTGTTGCAGACTTGATTCCAAGCTGTCGAAGGAGAAAGGCACTAGGAATGGCCACGTGGAGGACGGCCTGAGGCGGCTTCGACCAAGAGGATGCGTCCTGCAGTGAAAAACTTCCCCGTCCCAGGCTCCTCCGAAGCTTCGAGGCGTGGTGTCATTTGCCGCCATAAGCATGCATAGGCTGCTGCAGGCTGCTGCACAGTGGCATACGTCTTCATGGCTTTGGCAGTGCCCCCTGTCACAGGCTTGGCATCGGAGGACCTTGCAGAGCATGCGCGAGCCGTGGCCACAGAGTCTCCAAAGATGCCATGGTGGTCATCAGGCGAGTCATGGCGAGTCAAGTTGAGAGCCTTGCGCAGGCGAAGGCTCGATGTGGACCAAGCCAAATCTCAGGCAAAAGCGGAGGTTTAGCGATGCAAGAAGGCCATTTGTACGCCCGTTGCAGGAGCTTCATGAGGCTGGTCGCAAGTTGGCCGTTCAGGAGGGCAAGGCAGGTCGACATTGCAGACGCATGAGGGAGGTTCTTCAAGAAGTCCTCTTCTGCCGTCTGTCTTGAACTCGGCTGATTGCGATGGCTTGGCAAGGTCAAGGCAGCCTTTGGCAGGGCTTCGACAGCTGAGAGCGATTTTGCCTCAGAGATGTTCCGAGCCTAGCTTCTGCCAGAGGATGCCAGCGGTGGCACAGCATTCAGCCTTCTCACCTTCGCACCATAGCCCAAAGAATCAAATCAAAGGCATAGTGTTTCACGAGAAGCGATGGTACACTCCAACCAAACCTAGCATGGTCTGGTTCATGTTGCCCAGCACCAAGAGAAACTAAGGAAAGCGCACACCATGAGGAGCAGAACAACAACTGGACCATACCGGACCCAACTGTACGACCGGCCAAGAAAGTAGAGCATGCCGCAGCATGCCCATGATGCCGGGGTCTGGGCAAGGTCTGTTCGTGCGGCTGTTGCCGATGTAAGAGAGCGTGGTTCAGCAGTGCGCACTGGAGACGATCCAAAATGAGTCCGGATGCTACGTCTGCCGTAGTTGGAGTCTTTGCGGATCTGCGGCACCGAAGAATGCCTAAAGCCCCAGCAAAGCAGCAACCAATCCAAGCAAATATCGAATACCAAATTAAGCGTTGGCGAGGCCCAGCCTTTGTGAATCGAACGGGTAAACATCAATGCCGAGCTGCCGCGTGGTGCCGTGAGGTTTACCTGCCAGAAGCTGCAGCAGGCTCGCGTCATTTCGGCGTTTCGATGACCAGTAACCTGATAGCACGCAGTGAAGTTGCAGGAGCTCCGCGATCTGCGGCACGAGCTTGACTCGGAGGTGAGAGACAGCACCGGGAAGTCTGACGCAAGACCAGTTGCGAGCACAGAGGCTTAGACACCCTCCGAGTGCAGGCGATCATCCATCGGTCCAAAGCAGCGGCGCAGGAAGCGCTCCTGGCAGCTGAAAGGACAGCAACAATCCTGTCGCGTCTTTCAGAAAGCAGGGGTGCATTGTGCGATGCAGAGTTTCTTATATCAGGACTGAGCGGAAGAAGTTGGAGGACGGGAGGGATCTCTTTGGCAAGCGCACTGACTTGGGGATCTGGATATTGTTTGCGCCATATGACTTGATTTGAATTGCGGGCCCCATCTAATGATTTTCCGCGTCGATCGCTCGTACGATGCTGACGTATTAGATCCTTCAACACACAGCGGCCTCGATCGGCACGCGAGCGTACGAAGGATTGATTACACTTTGCGGATTTGTTCGATTTGAGATTGCTACCGCATGTTGGCACTGCACAGCAGCGCACGCCACTGAAACGCCCGTTAGGAGCGACATGACTTGCTTGCCCATCCTGCGTGCTTTGCCATCATGACCTCTTCGGTGTGCTTGGCGAGTTGCCCGTTGCCGGACATTGGACATCGGGATGTTTCTCCAACAACTGGCCAGAGTACACCCTTTGGCAGTTATTCGCAGTGGCCTTGGCCAGCATGGCTTACACCGGGCTGACACTTTTTGTGTACACGACACCTGCGACGCAGCCGACTATCTCCTTTCTTAAGCTGGGTATCCTGAGCCGGGGTCTTGCAGGGGGTGCTGCTGCAGCAATGCCCCTGGAGCCGTCCCTTCCGCACAGCTCGTGGGGGGAAGGGGGGTTGGAGGAGGGGCAGGTGCCTGTATTTTTCATTTGCATGTATCCATGCTCGCTGCTAAAGGTTCTAGCAAGGGTACGATCTACAGCTTTGCGTTGGTAGCAGAAGAGACTCCAGCGTGATTGTATGCCTGTAGGCCTTAGCCAGGGTCTATACGCCCAGTTTACATATCAACGTGGTCGCGGAGCTCCCCAAAACGGCTTCACACTGGTAGAGGTACTCGCTGGTAATTACGCTCCACGCAGCTTGAGGAAACCGGTATCCGGTATACCGGTATACCCGATGTGCTTCACGCTTGTGAAGGGAAGGTGACCGGGATATCCCCCGCACACTTCACGCAGATGAAGCTAACCGTAGGAGATGCTTGCCGGCATTCGATCCGAGGGCAGCGCCATGGCTGCCACTCTGCTGCGCCGTATGAGCATGGCGAAGGAGATGATGATTACTTCTTTCAAAATCACGAGCTTTATGCGACACATCAGAGACATTTGCAAGAGTTGCACCGACTTTCAGCTTTTCAGCAGGTGACCACAAAGCTACCCCCATCTTATGATGGTCGAAGCAGCTGGTTTGCTTATGAAGATGCGATCGATGACTGATGTGACATCAGTCACTTGATGCCGAAAAGTCGAAAAGCATGGACCAGCTTGCGGAACAGATTGGGAGGTGAGGCACCTATCTACAAAAGGACTGTGGGCAGAGATCACCTGAAGGCTGCCAACGACGGAGTGAAACACTTGAAAAGTTTCCTGTGGCCGCTGTTCGTGAAGGGCGCGGCGCGGCCAATGTGCTCCTTTACAAGTACCGGTTCCGGCAGTTCATAAACTTGTGCTGCTTCAACGGAGACATACTCCGTTGGATTACCAGGATCCAACTCTCTGTATGACGGACCCGCAAAGTGCTGAGGTCCGAGCTTTCATTGCAGGAGTTCCTCCGGAAGAACAGGCAGACAGCACGGCCGAAGTTGCGATGGACAGAGCCAACGAGAGGCTCAGAGACCAGCATGCGCGGACAATTCCAATCAGAGCCAACCTCGTTGCTCCCATCTTTGTCTCTCCGTCCGACCTTACACAGGATCAGCGACAGGTGTTGACTTCATGGGTGGCGATGGCACAGAGGGTTTTCTCGAAGGGGATGAGGGCTCCTGCTGGGTCTACGACGACGAGAATTACACATGCTTCCCGCGACGATTTCAAGGTCGAAGGATGAAGCGTGGATTCAAGGGCCGTCGCAACGGCAAAGGCAAAGGCGGCAAGGGCTCCGGAGGTAAGTGTTCTCTAAGCCATGGAAAGGCAAGTCAAATCTCGCCCAAGATCAGACAGGTGCTTGGCGTGCTAATGGACCGTGGCAAGATGGTCAGGGGCAAGACGCATCCTGGGACGATTGGTCTTGGGACTATGCCGGGGAGTCCTATACTCAGCCAAAGGCAAGGGAAAAGAAAGGGAATAAGGGCAAGAGAAAATGCAAGCACGGCAAACACAGCTACGAAAATGATGGCGGAAAGTCCGGCTCCAAAGATGGAGCAGCTCAGTTTGCCGATGCCGCCCAAGGCAGCACCTCAGCTGCCACAACCTTCTTCGTTGAATGTTGACCAACTTTTCCTTTCTGGCCACCGAAGAGCAGGAAGCCTTCATCGCTCAGGTGATGGATTTGGGATGCACGCGGGCAATGGCTTCGCGAGTGGCTGTGCAGGATGAAGTTCTGCGACCAGAACCAGGACTCTGGCGTCTGGTACAACATAGGTGAGACTACTTCTCAGTTGACCTTGGCCATCTCCGAGTCGACGCAGTGCAATCAGAAATCAGAAGTCGGTCGTTTGCATGTGCCATCGTGAGTATGCAGTCCAGTCCGCCGAGTTCGACATTGTCATGCTCCGATTCTCATGTCCCGGACACAGATGCGCAACCGGAGGTTCCAGATTGAACTTCATCCAGACAAGGCGTTGCTTAGCAGTCCAGTCCTGGGGATTAAACATGTGAAGCTTAAGGTTGTGCCTAGCTCACATCCTGTACTAGATCTACTTGATCTGTGCCGTGTCATATGGAATGTGCGTTTCGACAAGCACAAGAAGTCGAGCTTCCTCACTCACTGCTCGCGTTACGAGTATGGCCTCCGTCAGAAGACCGCAGGAGGCTCTCCAGAGGAAGAGGTGCCTGAGGATTTCTCGCGCGCCATGAACGATGGGTGTGTGACCAATGAAGCAAGGATGGAGTTCACTCGCATCCACAAGACGAAGCGACGAAGCTCAACATGGTTGTTGGTTCAACTTTTCCAACATATACTGACGCTGCGGACAGGCCCTTGAAACCTCTTGGCCGGGCACTGGAAACGCAGTCCTCCTAGCGATGAGCTCTCGGGAGCTCTCGGCTGATTCGGAGTATCCTTTCTTTCTCCGTCTGCAAGGGAACCGCTGCAGACTTTTACGGTTCGCAAGGAGCATAATCGTGAAGATCAGGTCTTTTTTTCAGGAGTAACATCTTCGGGCGCCGGCTTCTGCAGGCTGCCTTTTCCGTGGCTCCTCTCCCGGCAGAGAGCCTCTAGCGGCTCCTGTTTCACGAGTAGGGTCGAACGACTTGGCCGGAACAGAAGTTCGTCCTACCTCTCCAGGCCTCACAAGACGTTGTGGCAGGACGCTCGGTGGCCTTCCAATCATGCTCCCTCGTCTCGACGTCTCGACTTTGCCCCTTGGAGAATGCCTGATCGTCTTGCGAGTGTTGTCCAGGAACTCCAATGGAAAAGGCGTCTTCCCGCCCTTTAGAGTGTACTTCTCTCTCCTTGCAAGTATGAGTTTAGCGCAATATGTCGCCGGAGGACCAGCGTCTCCGTGCCACCGCTTGTGCGAGTCAGAATCGCAGCGCTAAGAGCGTCATCTTTTTGCGGTTTGGTTGTCGTGGATCAAGAGGAAGTCAAATTCGGAAGCAAGGCCTTTCTCGCTTCGGTCATCATTGGTGGTGAATCGAGTCTCCTGTGAGCTACAGCTCACGCGAGTCTGGAAGCGCCAGAGACTCTAGGGCCTGAAATGGACAGAGGAGAATAAAATCATTTTTCACGGATCCCTTCATGGCTTACTACAAGCTTCATGGGAACACTCCATATCCTTGTGGACCTCGTACTCCATGGCCTAATCGTGCTGAAGCTGCTGTGCATTCGTTCAAACGTACGTTGTCGATCATGGCAAAGGTCTTGGCTCATGAAGGACGCGTCAAGCAGTCAAGATTGTGGTTTGGGCAAGAAATTGCCAGCTTACAGTTTTAGAGATAGCAACCGGCAGACGGTCGCCAGGATTGTTTGATGTGGAGACGAGTACTCCAGGACAGCTTTCGGTCAGTCCTCCAGATGAAGACCGTGCTACTCTGGATCCTCAGAGGATTGCCATGAAGGCTCATCCGGAAGCTCGCTCGACCTTCGAAACGACTTGGCACGGCGTGTGATGCCATCCGATGGCCCTTATCAGAAGGGAGATCGTTTGTTTGTCTGGCATAAAGATGAGTCGAAGAAGAAGTCTGAATGTCACAG